AAGAAGCCTTATCTCCCAGGCACTCACGGACGGGGCAACCGCTACACCTTTTCCCAACGTATTCCGTGCGTGTAATACACTAGGGGAATTGTCTATCAGCAACTCCAGTTTAAATAATGAGGCTAATTTCCAAGTTTTCCTCATGACATCAGAGCCAAGCAATTGCCAGGATAATTACCTGTACTCCTTCATTGCATGAAATGGACAAAATAAAGCGTGTCATATTGAAATATGCCTTTCGTCTCCCTGACAAACCCTCCGCAGATGGATCAATAATAATTAGGGTTTCAATACGAACGGCAAAAGAAATTTCCCCAATATGCATTCTCACAGGACTCTGCCTGGATGACCCTAATCGCACCTCCCTTCCCCCCGCAGAGCGTCCTAACGACCTAATGAACCCGAATGGGGCCGAGCCGCGATACGAGGCCTGAATCATTAAACCTGCAATTTTCGCTACGGGTGGTCTGGCGAACTCGCCTTTCGTTCAGTCTCGTGTACAGAGAAGCACTTGCACGATTGTAATAAAAAAAATTTCCCGGGCAACTCCGGTAGATCATTATCCTGGCATGGCCAATGTAGCAAGGCCACCTCATCCGGGAATCACTCCGCTGGGAATGAAGTGAAAAACGGCCGTCATGTGCACGTGGAAGTTCACTTCCCAAGCATTTAATTCCCATGCAGAAGGAAATAAAATACTATAAAGCGCTTTCATCCATTCATTGAGTTTCGTTGTATCGCTTTAGGATCTCTCATTTCAGGTCCCATTTCAGGATGTTCTTTTGCTCAATTTCTAGAGAGATCTGCTGGCAATTCACTTTTTGGCCGTTTTGTGAAATTGACTGAAACTAAATTGGAGACAATCATCTCATTAAATGTTAATTAATTTTGAAATTGAATTTGGCTGTTAATTTTGAAAGGCTCAGGATGGGATACGGACATCTCGCCAATTGAGAGAGACGAGGAAAGTGCGAAATGGAGTCAGCCACTTTATCGTGGCTATTGCAAGCGAAGTGCAGTTACATCGATGCGATAGTGAAGTAATCACTGTCAAATTAAATTAAGCACCGTTAAAAGTATATTGAACTTCTTATGGTTTAGGCAATGGCCTCAAATGATATTCTCTCGTATGCCCAACACGGGAAGACTAAAATGTTACACCACTCCAGGCCATAGGCTAGGATATAAGAACGTAGGTATATTCATCTAAGTCACCTCTGTATATGCTTCGAAATGAGACTTTCTTCAAAATTAACCTGAAGAGAACTACTGTACGTACTTTTTGGAATTCCAGAGTTCTATATCTGCCTGTTTCATCGGAAAGAGACATTTTCCCTGAAAAGTGGACGGTTATAACGACATTAACAATTACAATAATGATGATATATGTGACTCTGACGAAGTCGACGATATAAAAACATCACATTCATTATGCCATTATTCATTATTAATGATCCCAGACCATATATGGTCGAGGTGACTGGGTTCGCAGGGAGCAACTCCTTTCAACTTCATCACCAACGGCGTGACTATCAACAACTCGTGAAGGTCCTGGATGAACATTCCTGGATGAACATTCAGAACGACACGAAACCGCCGTTCGAGATCGACTTCCTGCTTCAGTGTTGACCTCGCCGCCCTCATGCCCTCATGCCCTCATGCCCTCGTGCCGCGTTTGCTGTCGCGCACTTTTGATTTGACTGGCACCTTCGAGGTTGTTGGGCGGAGGGACGGTTTTAAAAGCTGATTCATTCGTCCTTTTTGGTTTGGTCTCCTTAATGATCTTGATCGGGTGCTAGAGTAATGTGCCATGAATGAGGTGATGAGCGCATTACATAGAATATTTCCACTCGGCGTGGTAACTAAAGGGGGAAAGCCTGCAAGTACCGGGCGAATGCGTCGTCCAACGATAGAAATGGAAAGGTTTTTCCATGATCTTCAGATCATGGAAAAATCATGTCAGGCCCCGATGGTCATGCACAGTCATGTTACAGGCCGTCTCGATCTTGGTACCAAACATCTCACTTGTACAGGAAGAAAATATCTGCCAAAAAAGCTGACGAAATTGGCACAAGAAGTCTCGTCGACTTCGTGCTTCGACTAAAAAATTCATTTTTTCATTGTTTTTCATTGCGTTCGTGGGTAATACACTAAAGGCGTTTGGAGGAAAGACTCATATCGGCAGCATGCTCTCTTCAGAGACTGGCGCAGGTTACGACTTTGTAACGACCTGTTTGGCCTGTTTGGCTTCAGACTTTCATCCTAATCTACAATCTCCACACGAAGACCATGAACTCGGTGAAACTTAAATCGAAGCCCAGATGCCAGAAAGGTGTCAGTGAGTTGCGGACACATCAAAACGCAAATAGCAGGAGAGAAAATTCTTTTTTTTTGTGCCGAGCCCAACTTTCGAACCAAAGCCACCAATATATCATTGGGATTAAAGAACTCTGTTGGAATCCTTGGCCCCTCCTCCCGTCCGGGTTGCGATATTGCCACTCCGCGACGCCCCAACCCTTGAGGCGGTTGCAGGTGAAGGTGACCATGCGGAGGACGACTCGAGCCTCCCAGTCTGCAGCTATCAACAACTGGGGGGATTCCAGTACCTTCACCGGTACCTCCATCGGGTACTGTTTCCCTCCTGACCGATCGGCACGACACGTTTTGCGTCGTTCTTCTTGATTCGTGCAATAAATTTTGCTTGTATGATGATTCCTATTAGCAGTCAATTGCGTGAAGAAGGGTTTCGTGAAGAAATGTTTAAATTAAAAACTATCCCTAGAAGAAAATATGAGCGAGGAAGGTAATAAAAGCCAAGGAAAAGTAAACTCTTGGTCGGATCCCAACTCTTTAAAGGACATAAAAGAATAAAGTCTTGACCTCCAAAGAAACTGAAAGCATAATCTTTGGCGGGATAATCTGGGCCTTCTCCTTGTTGCCAGGCCCAGTCAGCAATTTTTCCCCTGGCCAAATGTGTTTATCTTTGCACAGCCAGATGTTCCAAGCTTGGCCCACATTCACGAGCCGCACATGTACCTGTGCTACGGGTGTAATATGCAAGTAATATGGAAGTAAGGAGTATCCTGAATGTGCGCGTTTTCTTTGCAACCCAGTCTAATACATCTGTGGGACAGGTGGTGCACATGTGCATGGTAAGTCCGCGACGCACCGAGGCATGATTGCGTATCTACATGTGCAAGCATGGTACGAACGACGTGTACTGTAAGCATGTGTCCCTCCATATATGTCCACTTCTTCTGCGGCAACCTGATCCTAGTAATAATATTAATGCGTTTCAGGGAAAGGTCCATCCCTTGATGTTCCATGGAGTATATACTAATATACTAATTGAGGAGTTCTCTGGAAAAGGGGCGTATGTGCCCATACGCCCTTTTTTCCATATCCGTGTCCATGTGCAGCTTTAGATGACTTGTCATCAGTAGGGTGGTCAGCAAGTGGTTCAGATGAAGATTCAACAAAAGAGAAGCAGATTTTCCTGTGCTCTCACTATATAGCAGACCAACTGCCTGGCAATTTCAATGAATATTTCATTGGCACTTGCATGAGGAACGATTTTGGAGGAATTATTTCGTCCTTTTCAACTGAAAAAGAAAATGAGGGAGAAAACAGACACAGGGAAAGAAAGAGGCGGAGTCATTGAATCATCTGGAAGGATATGAGAAGTTAGAGATATCCAGGAAATAGTTGCAGATTCGGATAATGAGTTCATTAATGCTGGATCACTGCCGAGTAATTGGCGAATGAAACGTGTCCTGAATATTCACATTTTTCTTGATATCCTTTAAGAAAGAGTTCATTTAATATCTATCGATGCATTTATTTATGAAATATTATTTTCAGCGGGAAAGAAGTGGTGAAAGACTCTCTGGAAAAAGTTTCAGCAGTTAAATGCCAGCAAAGTGAGATGAAGAAATTAATTAAAACCCTAAGTTTATTTTAAAAAATGTATGAGAATCCCATTTTACTGCTGATTATTTATATATATAAGTTATTACCAGCTTCGGATTTGTTATGGGAAGTTTTTATCATTTATCTCGAATTGCATCATTTGCACATACGGCCTTTTCCCATAGAACTCTTCAATTCAATTCCTTTTCCCCTCCATTCCGGCCTCAAGACGGCCAATTTGGTGACAGAAATAAAAGATATGCATTGCATCAATCGTCTTGCAGTGTTTCTCAACGGATTGCCTCTCCATTCAGAAAGGAAAAGGAGCAGGATTTCCAAGGACATTAACTTGGATACTCCCATACCAAGTGTCGCCTCTGTGGAATTACAAATTTGCATACAATTCTCATTACTTTCCGGAAATCCAAAGTAGGTAGTATTTACATTTTCCTGAGCAATAATAAGCAGTGGAAATCCTCAAACATTATTTTATGTTCGCTGCTGCTTTTAATATGAGAAATTTCCTGGAGTTTCAGAATTTTCTGTGTTGGAGTCATTAAACGTCGCCAACTGGCCTTCTTCCTTTAACTGAATGCATATTTTGAAATCTACGTTTCCTCCAAACTTCAGCAGCCAACTGATTTTAACTATCATCAGCAGCCTGATGATGCCGAAGGTTTACAGCTCAAGGCAGGCAATATTCCTTCTTGCAGCTTTGAGTGACTTGATTTCAACGACAGGTTGCAAATCGTGCATGAATCGTTTCTTCATACCCTCAAGCAAAGAACGGTTCAATTCCATTTTCATCTCCATAATGCTCTAAGTCGTGCTTTCTGGTTATGCTGTTGTTTCACGAAATAGAGCTCACATTTCAATCCAATAAAGTGTGATCGTGTGAAGTTGATACGCAAGCAACAAATGAAGAATAAAATCTTCATATTTTATTCTTACCGATTGAAATCAGTACATACCTGAGTTGCTCTTGTGGGTCACTACCGGTGGTTGAGTGGCCCTGTAACCTGAAACCTTATGTAGTACCACCCTAACAGACGAGGAGACTTGGTTAGTTTAGACTTTATCGTAGGTAGAGCTTACCGATGAGGAAGAGCATCGCACGCTTGGCGAGAAGAAACGCCGCCGTATCGATTGCCCCATCCGTCCTGGGGTGCATTCCACTGCGACTGGCATCCATTGAAGATTCCAACGCCTCCGCCAGGAATTTGAAGATCGAATTGATTGGGATTCACGTCACTTCCGCTGTTGGTGACCTGGACGATCATGGATTTTCCTTGGACTGGACCGCTGGTAAAATCGAGTTTATAGCATGCACAGCAGCGGTCTCGCTCGCTCAAGCCTGGAATGGTGGCAGCAGCAAATCCATAGGCCAATTGGTCATTGATGGCCCATGGTTTCTGATTGTTGCAGGTGAAGGCTTCACCTCCGCCACATCCACTGGCAGCATTGGGATTGCCGAGGACGGAGTAGCCATCCTTGCTACAAGCTTTCACGAAAGCATTGGATCCGGAAACTTTGCCAGGCCAAGAGCACGACCCAAACGTCGTTAGGGTCATAGCTCACCAAAAGGGACGTCGGAAGGGTCTTCCTCGTCTGACGGGTTAGTGTGGTGTGTGGTACCTTATCAGAGGCCAACGCTTTCGTAGCGAGACTCTTCGGTGACCCTGCTTCATCCAGCAGGTGCCTCCATTCCACGTGGTCCAGGTGAAATGAGTGCATCCCTGGGTGGCAGCACATCTCCCGCCGCAATCTTCCCCGCGTATTTGAGCATTGGACAAATCGTTTCCTCGAAAATCGCATCCCAATGCCCAGTTGTTTCCATTCCAGGCGATCTAGAAATTCGGGAATGTGATAAGGAATATAAATAAGCAGATTTGAGGTTAGACAATGCACATGCCAATATCAACAAGGTCATTTCGTAGCTAAGAGGTGAGACATGTTCCGCCAGTTATTGGGGATCGCCACAGCTGATAGGTTCAACGGGAAGAAATCAAACTCTTTCTTTTCGTGTTTCTTAATTTTCGTGCTTCAAAAATGCGCATCAAGGGATGTTTGACGTGATGGGAAATCCGATTTTCCCCAGCGTTCCCCAAACTCATAAATATTCTCTGAGCCTCAGAACGGAACGAATCTGGCGCAAATAATAATGAATGAAAGCGAAGAACGTAAACACGTATCACTTTATCGCATGTTCGAGAGCTTTCGCTAAGGTCCAGGTAATAGTTTGATTCGCAATAGAAATCTGGCACTTCAGTTTCGAACTAAACGGACATTTTCATCTCCTTCACTGGCAGTACCATTCTTAAAAATGACTCTTTTCTTCCCATCTCATGCTGCGATATCGTTTCATATTGCGATCAGCTTCAAGAATTCTGCCTGATGTGCATCGTTCGATGTGTTAGCTTTTTTTTTAGATGAACACGCCCAAACGCGCGAAACGATCGCGACCGTTGCCCATTATGCAGTATTTACATTGCGTTTAACAGATGCCCAAGGTCACGGTTGCGAGATTTCCACTTTCGCAATCTTTCGCGGATTCGCATTCGCAGATTTCAGAATTCACAGACCTGGGCGAAGACAGCATCTCCCAACGCGAGCACAATCACCGCCAATTTCAGGAACTGCACGAAGAGGGAGAAAAACATTCGCGAGTTGTGAATCTCTGTTTATATTAAACAAGACGAAATCGTGGAGCAAAAAGATCGCGGGACTCACAACTCCGACGAATTCCATGTTAGTCTCTTCTTTGGTGCCGACTGAGTCGTTGACGCTGGGACGAATGATTCCTCGACCGGCACGAGAGGCCCTCATTTATACGCAGTTGTGCGCTGCCTGCCACGTGCCGAGATTCATGGGAGGAAAAAAAATCTAGTGATGTTAATGGCATCTGCACGCGAGTGTTGCGGCGGATTTCCGGTGAAAAGCGCGACGCCACGCGGATCCGTTACCCGGAGATCCGGCTTTTGGCCCCAAACCGGATACGGATCGGATCCACTCGGCTCGATGCCGACTGTGGAGCGTCGAATTCCGATTCCTGAAACGAATTCTCCGCTCTCATTTCGAGTTGGATTTTGAAGCCCAATTTTGAAGAATTTGATCTTTTTTCCCGGTTTCGTCAGAGGAAAAGCGAAAAAAAAGTATGTTCTATGAAAAATAAAGTTTTACATGAACAAAGCATTCTCGATGTGTTGTCATGCAATTATTCAATTACGTTATGGAAACCAAGACACAGCATTAATCAAAAAGCCTCTACTTCACAGTTTATAATTCATTACTTCATGATTTATATATATTTAGCGAGTATTTATTTCCTTCGGAAGGACCGAAACTCGTAGCGCCCTCAGCGTTCGGCGGTCAAAGCTTCGAAAAATTGTTTTAAAATGTCCTTTTTCCAAGCCCCCACATACAATGACCCCAATTGCACCCCCCCCCCCCCCCCTTCCCCAGCAGAGTGCCCTTATGACCCAATGAACGTGAATGGGGCCTTGGTACGACAGGAGGCCTGAATGATGAACCACTAATCCCCCTTTCGCTCCAGGTGGTGCAGTTAACCCACCTTTTGTTCATCCTCATACAAAAAAGCTCCTGCAGGATTACAAGAAAAGTCTCCCGGAAAACTCCGGCAGATCATTATCCTGGCAGGGGCCAATGTAGCAAAGCCACCTCAACCGGGAATCACTCCGCTTGGAACGAAGTGAAAAACGGCCGTCCGGTGAACGTGGAATTTCATTTCCCACGCATTTAATTCGCATGCACGAAGGAAATAGCACTATTATCGAATGCGCTTTCAAGCATGCATTGAGTTTCGTTTGGTCGCTTCAGGATCTCTCAGTTTAGGTCCCATGGAAATCAGGATTTTCTTCTGCTCAATTTCCAGAGAGATTTGCTGGATAATCACGTGCTGGATGTTTTCGTGAAATCGAATGAAAATAAATTGGGAGCCATGCATTTGATAACATTTAATTCAGTTAATTTTGAGTGCTATGAAAGAGTTTTAGAAATAATTTTCGAATAACCATTGCTTTCACCCGATGACAAGGTATACTTTTGTTCCTTCGTTTTGAGTGGCATACTTCATTAACCATTTCGTACTTGTGCAAAAAATGGAAGAAATACAATGTTCAACTCATTCCATGTGTCACCACCGAGATTAAGGCATGAAATTGCATGAAATGCATGAATAGCGTTGACAAGTGGAGCGGTTTTTCGTTTTCGAAGCCTGCAAGAAACAAAAATGTTAAAAATATGAGAATGTTGATCGGATTCCTTTGTAAACCCTGAGCCATTGTGATTTGAAGTAATTCCCCCACAAGAGATAAAGTATTATCCGCTTGACATGTTTTTTTTTTCGACATTGCCAGAAGCTGTGTGAAATGTGGAACACTGAAATAGGAGCACATTTGGCTCGCTGGTTAGCTTTATTAGAGCTGAACGGCATGGTTAGGAGTCAAGTTCCCAAAGCTGATTCATGGAATCTTTAACGTAACATCACGCTTTCATTAGAGAGGGACGGTGTTATTTTTCGATGCCAGGTCGAAATCCTGTGGCTTAAAATTGGGCTTGAAGTAGGTATATGTTTAATCCTTTTACTCTCAAGATGCCTGATTTCTAGAAATCCATTTAAATGAAATTTAGATGGATATGCTAAATTCATGCGATTCTTGAGAAGCACTCTTTCTACGATCCCTCAAGAATAAGAAGATAACCATGAAGAAAACTCGTATTGATCTGGAATGCACCAATCCCGATCTGCCGATCCTTCCCGCCATGGCGCGATTGGAACATTCGCGGTGCCAAGGTCAAGGCATTGGAGGTAGATGACCTTGCCCCGGAGACCGAACGTTTCCGGGAAACCGTGGTCCAAACTATGCGGTGAATGTCTATGGAAGGTTGGACGGGACCCGAGAGCAGTCGCCTCCCAACTGTCGCAGCAGCAGGATGAGTTCTCCCTTGCCCCTCTTCGAGACGAGGCGTCCGCATTTCTTGCGTTGCGTCCGCGTTAGCTTCCGCAAACATTTCGTGAATGCATCGTTTCCTTCTCAGATGTGCATGAACGGGATGGAACTCTGGGAAAGTGCTTAACTTGTCATCAGGAAACAGTCTGTGGAGTCTTGTATTTTTAATATCGAACTGTTTACCTATTCCCTCTGATCGGGAAGAGGTAAACGTCATTTTTGGAAACGTCCCATTGTAAAAATATCTGCCTGAAAGAGATGGACACCTAAAGTGCAATTTCCCTCGAAATTAACTCTCCTAAAACTATATTCCCACTGAATTTTTGTTTTCTTAAAAATGAGCGATTAGACCATGTCTCCCCGAAAGGGTATTTCCATAGTGAAATTATCAGAAAAACCTTGGCTTTTTTTTTATTAAATCCGCGTCTCAATAAATATTTATGAACGAAATTCCAGCTTGACAGTTTTTTTTAAGAAAAAATTTCCGGAATTACCTCTCCCCCAGCCCCAAAAACCAAGAGCCTTGATAGTATATACCACAAAAGTAAAAATTTGCTCTTCATCAATATCCCGAGAACAACGTGGTTACACAATTTCAAACTTTTATCTCAATTAAGATTTGATTACGTGAGAAAATGACATTGAAAAAAAAGTCCCCCGCCAAAATTGTGCCATAAGGGGATTTACCTCGATAAAGGGATTACACATGAAATTAATTTTTCTTTCGGGTTTGTGTACCGAATTTCAATTTCCTACGTAATCCAGAACATGATTATATTCAGCGTCACTCCCTTTCTTATTCTCCCTGTATTAGATCCTGTGGTTACAAGAAAGACTACAGTTTATTTATTAGCACATAGTCGATGAAACGTAATCACCATACTGCTCATTTCTCCTCCCGGATGATGTAACGATAAAGTGTCGCTGAGAAAGTAATCACGAAACGAAATCACAGAAATAAATTACCGATTGCCCACATATCAACGAACATTTTCCGAGATATGAGCCAGTTCAAGCCTCTTAAACCCAAAAAGAAAGACTGCGACGAATCGCATCGGTACATGCAGGGTAGCGAATTCATTGAATGCGCTTTTTGATGGTCAAGCCAAAATTTTGAGGGGAGCGCTTGTTCTTATGAGAGTGATATAAACAAGTCTAGTCCAGTAGAGGGCCTTCTTTCATTTAAGGAGACACGCATTTCGTTACCTAATTGAACAAAAATCCATCTCTATTCGTCGATCAAATACATCATTTTTCCGTTACGGTTGAAAATCTACCCCTGGTGCTCATGAAATGGTGAAGGGAGGATGGAGGGTTGTGCGTGCTTGGAACCGTCCGCCACGAAGGTTGGTTGGGCACTGAGAGCTCTGGTTGCTGACACCGCACCGCGTGCATAGGTCGTACGCGCATGCGCATTGTGATCCAGATCCAAAAGGTCTCACGGATACTCATCGCTTCCCCACCATGACCAAGTTTCAAATCCAAAATTTGCAAAATAATGCCAATTTTGGTGCGATTTCAATTCCTGCAATTTCAATTCCTGGTGCGATTTAATTCAATTCCTTGTTCCTCAAATCCGACCTCAAGACGACCAATTTGGT